GCATTTGTTTATTCTCGGTTAATCAAATCCCTTTTGGACTTTTTCACTCCCTTCACGTACTAGCTCCAGAAAGTAGGTTGTTTCGAGACCTTTCCTCACGTTTCAGTAAGAGATGCACTTTTAACTCTGTGTGAGGCACAGTGGTTCGTGAGGGCAAGGGCAGGAGACCACGAAGCCCTGTCTCTGGTCGAGACATGGAGCTGCCACCTTGGCCCTAAGCTAGCTCACATTCCAGCCCGTGGGACAGCTGCTCAGGTCACAGCCAGTTACGGGTGAGGACAGTGGGGCCTTCCCAAGCCCGGCCCACACAGCTGGGGCCTCCACACCTCACTCCCCGGTGCTCCAGCCGTGGCTGCCCTTGAGGAGTTTGAGCCAATTCCGAGGTTGTCCACACAAGGCCCTCTCACTTCTGACAACTCCCATCCCCACCCCAGGTTTGATAATCCACCAGAGCTCCCTGAGAGCCCTTGCAGCCATGCACACAGTTTATTACAGTGAAAGGATAGAGATTAAAACCAGCTGGTGGAAGCAGTGCAGAGGGTGACATCCCGGGGGAGCCAGCTGCTGTCTTCTCCCTCCATAGTCAGGATGCACTGTTTCCCCAGCATGGATGTGCGACGACTTGCACAGATGCTCAGGAAGCAGCTGCGGAAGCCCACCCGTGCCTTGGTGTCCGGGGTTTTATTGGGTTTGGCTGATTGATCTGTTGGTGTCGGCTGGCTGGCTGGTTGGCTGGTTGGCTGGTTGATGGATTGATTGGTTGGTTGACTGGTTGGTTGCCTGCGTGGCCAACCTCGGTCTCTAGGTAGGCTGATACGCGTGGCCAGCCCCTACTCTGCCTCACATTGTTAGCTGAGGACAAAGGCCAGGCATCGTTTGGCGCGTGGTACAAGCCTTTCCCACATCCTGACTCAGGGCAGGGGCTCCTAATGTGTCGAGTGGCCTATGAAGAGCTCACCTGGAGCGTTTAATGATGCAGCCTTACGTCTGAGTCTGCAAACTGTTTGCAGACTCTGAAGAGATGAGCCTGGCCCACTGTTGAAACGCTGGTGGTAATGGTGATGTGTGTGCACCTGCCTTTCTGACAGACGGCGATCTGGATGTGGTGTTTGCCTCGTCCTCCAAGTGTGGGAAGGATAAGACAAAGTCTGTCTCGTCCACCATCTTCTTCCACTGCGACCCACTGGTGAAGGACGGGATCCCCGAGTTCAGCCACGAGACTGCAGACTGCCAGTACCTCTTCTCCTGGTACACCTCTGCCGTGTGTCCTCTGGGGTAAGTGGGGTCCTGGCCTGGGCAGGAGCTTGTTTGTGGTCGGACACCTTCCTCCTTGGATGGACAAGTACCAACTGTACCCCCACGTCCTCTCTCAAAACCTAAGTTTTATAAGTGTAAGTTTATGTGTGTTTTTTCCCCTGGTGTTTTATTGTGGAAATATTCCGACATGCACAAAAAACAGAGGAGGAGTTAGAGGTAAACCCAGCTTCACTGGCTGTCAGCGTCCTGCCCTTCCTGGCCCGGCCCCGTTGTCACCACCTGCCGCTGCCTTCCCGTGAGCCCCGAGCTCTGAGCGCCTCCACACTTGCCTTGCGCATTTTTCCCAGCTGACTTTTCCCCTGGGCTCCTGGGAGGCAGGTGCCGTGTCTCATCTTTGTGTTCCCAGTGCATCTTTTCTTCGTGTTTTGGTGCAGATTACTGTGTGGTCAACCTCACATTAACTCGAGTGACATGCTTTCTATATTTCAGTGAATGAAGCGCTTGTTCTGCAGATCTTGGACACCTTGGGGGCCAGGTTTCCCTGGAGAGTGAGGGGACACGGTTTTGCACTGAGGACTCCTGGGGGGAGCGAGGTGACTGCGGCCTGTGTGGGCGTCCCCTCACGTCCGCAGCTTTGCTCTTGGCCCGCTGGGCGGTCACTCGTAGACGACCCTGCCTGGAACAAAATGCCGTGAACTGCTTTTCTCTGGACTGCTTTTCTTTCTGTTACCCAGGCCACTGTCTCACAGAGGCTTTTCATTCTCTGTCCTAACACTTCAAGATCAGAAGGAAAATGAATCTTTGTCGTATAATCATTTCCTTCATTTCCTGGGTGAGGGATGTTGGACTCAGGCAGATAGCAGAGTGGGGACAGAGTGGGGAGGTTGTAGGTCATACCTTTTCGATCTTAAATTCGCTTGCTTTACATCTATGTTTCTGGAAAATTTAGGGCAAAACTTTTTTTAGGAATATGGACATAAGGCAGGTCTCAACAGATTTACACATTGATGTTGTATAAATGACGTACACTGTGCAATTGGGAACCAATAGGAAGAAATGAACAGAAAATTAGAAATATATTTGGGAACTAAAACGCACTTCTAAATGATTTATGGCTCACAGAAGAAACCAAAAATAGGAACTGAAACACACATAGAACAGAATGAACATCTCTGACATCTGAACGCGGGCTGCGCCTCGGGACTTCCTGAGAGGCCGGGCTGGCTCCGCGGTGCCGCTTCTGCGGAGAGCCCAGCCCTGCCTGCGGTGTGCAGAGCACGAGGTGTGAGCCCGTCCTGTCCTGTTGTTTCTTATCTAACGGGTGTTCCGGAACAAGATTGGCTTAAACTGAATTTTGATCAGAGCCGTCATCCATATGTGACCAAGCCGTCAGGCTGCACTCTGACCCCATTATTTGAATCAAATACTTTTCTAATTAATAGCACCTTCACGTTACACATGTGGCCTCTTGAGTTTCCCTGTCTTATCCCAAAGCGTCCAGATCTTTCTTGTCACTGTTCTCGCCTTCTTGGCATGGGGCACACTTTCTGTTCTGGTCCTGTTACTGCAGACGTGCTGGCCTGGAATGACCGAGGGCCAGAAAGGGCAGAAGTGCAAGTCATTACACATACGTCTGGCTCTCTGCGCGGAAATGGTCAGTCAGGGTGTTTTTGGTTTTGTGTTAGGTATTTTTCAGTGCTTCTCTTGAGTGCTCCACGTGGAGGTGTGCTGCTTCTCCCCACACGTGGGGATTGTGGGAACTTTGCTGACTGAGTGGCTGCTGTGTTTGTCCCCGGCCCTCTGGCCTTGGATTTACCAGCACTGGATGGAGACAGGGGTCTGTGCTGTGCCCAGTGGTGTCTCATCCGTGTTTTCTCACCCCCGGGAGCACTGAGGCTATGTCCCAGGATGTGTCCTCGGCTGCGATCACGGCTTCTTCCCAGAGAAGGGAGCGGTGGTCCTGGGAGACCGGTGCAGCCAGCATTTCCCTGAGCTTTTGCTTCTGTGCCCTCAGAGCCCCGCGGCAGATGAGCGAGGGCTGGGTGGGGGGCTGCGCTCCCCACGCTGGGCTTCTCTCATTTCCTCGGTGATGAGAGTTCACGAGGCCTGAGTGTTCCGATCCCCCCGCCTTAATCTCATTGTCAGAGGAGTTCGTCCGCTGCTGAGTTCTCCGTGTTGGCGGGATCTGGTCCTGCCGTGTGGGGTTTGCAGAGTCAGAACCGCTGCCCGAGCTGGGCCTTGCTGGGGTGGTGGCTTTGGCATGGCTGAGTGACGTGCCTTCCCTGCAGGGTGGGCTTTGACAACGAGGACGACGGGGAGGACACGCAGGAGCACAAGGGGCTCTCGGAGAGGAGCCAGGCCGTCGGGGCGGTCCTCAGCCTGCTGCTGGTGGCGCTCACCGGCTGCCTGCTCACCCTGCTGCTTTACAAAAAGGAGCGACGGTAAGGAGAGGGAAGCGGGTTGGGGGGGACAGGCCGGTGCTTCACATTTGAAACCCGGGCCACCAGAGTCATGAAGTTCTAGGTGAAAACTTTGGAAGTGGTCTCTTAAACTGTGTTTTGTAATCTGTGTTCCCGTGATGAGGTGATAAGGTGTCTGGCCAGGGCCGTGGACCCTCTCAGGTCACGTGGCAGATGCTCTGCGGGCCTCAGCCTGGCCTGCCCATTCCCAGGACATTGCTCTGCGTGTGTCCACAGATGGACAAAGAGTTAAACCCTGTTAACGAGCAGGCGTCTTTCTGATCAGCTGATCCCCCGCCCTTGAAAAAGGGGGCATTTGTTAGGTGCCTGCTGTGTGCCGGGTGCGACACCACCCCTTGGCTTCCCTTTGCTGGTGAATGGACTTGTCATTCCCGGGCAGTCTGACTGTCCAATGGATTTCACATCACCTATGAGTGAGGCCCAGGATCTGTGTGTGGTCAGCCCTGTCCTGAGGGCAGAGGCTGGGTCAGCTCGGGGGCTCCCTGTTGCCTGTCATCTGCCCAGTGAGCCAGAGGCGGGCAGCAGGTGGGTAGGAAGGTCTGGCCTCGCCATCCCGACCCTGAGAGGCCGTCAGAGGGACACAGGGTTGGGGCGGAAGGTCTGGGAGTGAGCTGGACTTGGGTCCGTCTCTCGGCCCAGGAATCTCAGTGCGGCCCTGGGGTGGTGGGAGGTGTGGGTGCGTCACATCCACACGTAACTCACTCTGGTCCTTGGGACACCATGAAGACGTGGAGCAAGGATTTGAATTCACTTCTGTCAGATTCCAAAGCCTTTTGGCTGAACTGGTTTCCAGCTGGGAGTGCTGGGGGGTGAGGGGCTCCCCCCGGAGTAACCGAGGTCTCCTTTCAGGGAGACGGTGATAAGCAAGCTCACCAACTGCTGCAGAAGAAGCGTGAATGTGTCCTACAAATACTCGAAGGTAATTGTGCCCCCACCCCAACGCACACGCACACACATGTGCACACGCGCACACTGTCGAGCTGCTGTTACAGTGCTGGTCAGTGACAGCCAGGAGACCGTCAGATCCGCCAGTATGACATAGACAAAGGGGAAGCATCATTCTTTGCTCTTGATACGAATGTACATTTTATCCTTTTATCTTCAAGTTTTTCTTGTTGTGGTCACAGCTGATTTCCTTAGGGCATTCAGTGTTTAGGTTACTTCTGCTTTTTTGGCTGTTCTACCAAAAAAACATGGTAGTGAACATTTTTGTGCATTGGCATTTGGATGATTCCCTTTAGGTAAATTTCCCCTAGAATTGGCATTATTTAGGCCAGAGGGCAGGAACACACTTGTGGCTCTTGACAGGAACTGCCAGACTGCTTTCTGAAAGGTTTCCTCCTACCGGACTCATCCACACGTCTTCCATGTGGCTCCTGCCGCACGACCTCTGCCCGCCACCTGAGGGCACCTGAGGGGTCACGGCCGACTGTCGCCGGCCCGCCTTCCTGCCCCCATGACCCCATCTGCCTCAGTCGGGTCTCAGCAGGAGCTGCCAGCCCTCAGCTTCCTCTCCTTGGTGGGGGACCCGGGACCTGGGAACATGGTGGCCATGGTGGACAGGGAGGAGGGTCCCTGACTCTGGGTGGGTCCTGGAGGGAGGGGGCGGAGGAGCCGGACGGGGTCTCTGTGTGTCCCGGCAGGTGAACAAGGAGGAGGAGGCGGATGAGAATGAGACGGAGTGGCTGATGGAGGAGATCCAGGCGCCGGCGCCGAGGCCCGGGAAGGAGGGTCAGGAGAATGGCCACATCACCACCAAGTCCGTGAAGGCCGAGGCCCTCAGTTCCCTGCACGGGGACGAGCAGGACAGCGAGGACGAAGTCCTGACCATCCCGGAGGTGAAGGTGCACTTGGGCAGAGGGGCCGGGGCCGACGGCGTGCTCCCGATGAGACCCCCACAGAGGAAGGTGCTCCGGGAGAGAGCGGACGACAGGGTGGGGCTGGTGCGGGGGGAGCCGGCCAGGAGCGGGCGGCCCCGGGCCATGCAGAAGCCGGTGAACTCCTTCCACGACGACAGTGACGAGGACCTCCTGCACATCTAGGCCCCCACGCCTGCGGGGCGGGCTCGGCGGCACCAGCGGCACCTCCAACCAAATAAGACTTCAGCTCCGTGACGCTTCTGTCATTTTTGCCTTTAACAGAAACTGTTTCAAAAGGGAAGGGTTTGTGTGGTGGGGGAGAGGGGGAGGCGGCCTGCGCCACTCTCCGGGGGTGGTTTACCGGCATGGGAAGGAGGCATGGCTCCAGCTGCCGGAGGGCGGGGCCAGGCCCCAGGTTTTGTCCCATGTCCTCGCGTAGAGTGCCTCCTGGCATGCGCCCGGGCCACACGGGTCTCGGGACAGAGGGCTGTGCTGGAGAAAAACCCTTGCTGCTTTAGGCCCTGTAGGGTATTTGACCATTATATTTTAGCATTTAATTCTCTCCTCCTATTTATTGACTTTGACAATTACTCAGGTTTGTGGAAAAAAAAAACCAACAGTTTTTTCCTGCCGGTAGTCGGGTAAGATACGTACCCGTCCACCCCTGGTCAAAGGGGAAGCTGTTGGGGCACTTGGATGGTTTCATACGAGATTTTGAACTGGTCCACGATGTATCCTCAGTTAGAATAGGCCATTCTCTCTCTTTTCCCTCTTGCTCCCTGTCTCGTAAGGGGTCGCATGTGCCCACACACATGCGTGGGGTCCCAGTGCCTGGGCTTTGGAGGGTCCGCCCGCTCTCTGCCTCTAGTCAGTAACGGCTGCAGCTTTTTGCATGACGTCTTCAATCCTAGGTGCACAGATCACATTTATCAGTATTTCTTTCGTCAGCTGGTGAAGTCAGACAACCCACCCAAAGATTGATGTGTGTGTGTGTGTGTGTGTGTGTGTGTGTGAGTGTGAGAGAGAGAGAATGGAGCTGAGATGTCAGAGGAAATAACCTTTTTCCAGATCTGGGGTGTAGGTCTCACCTCTTCAGGTTCTCATGATACCACCTTTACTGTGCTTATTTTTTTAAGAAAAAGCGTTTCTCAACCATTCGACCTATAAGAAGCCTTAATTTGCACAGTGCGTGACTTACGGAAATTGCGTGAAAGCCGCTGGGCCAGTGTTTCGCCCCGGCGTTGCACTTGGATTCCTTCTCGGGGGGCGGCCGAGGTCGGCCTTGGGTCTGCAGGACAGAGGGCGGGAACGCCGCCCTCCCCGGCTGCGGGCTCCTTTCTTGAAGTGTTTAGTGAACGACTTTCCTTGCATTATAGAATTGTATATAGACTCAATGGTATTCATATCGTGGGAAGCAAACCAGCCTGTAGGGTTCCTTGGTTTGTGTTCCGTTTGGCGGGCTTATTTGATTTAAACATGAGTGTATTTTTAAAAATTGATTTCTTTCCTCATTTTTTCAATCAAATTTACTGTAATATAAAGTATTCAACAATTTGAATAAAAGATAAATTATTACCTGGGTGTTAGTGCTTTTTCCCTGTGAGAGTGAGAAGCTGCTGACTCAGCGGCCAAGTCCGGCCACTTCCCTGCGCCTCCCGTTACGTTGCAGGGACATCCCGTCCCCGCCCGGTGTGCACGGACCCTCCCTGCACGGCCCCTTGGCTTTCTGTCTGGGGTCTCCTCGCGTGCAGTGTGCCCTCAAGGCCCACGAGGCTTCTCAGCTTCATCTGGATTTCTTCCTCCTTCCGAGAAAGCAGACCTCAGGATATTTTTACCAAAACAGCCACCGTGAGCGCAGCTCCCACGATACCATAAAACACCCCAGGGTGTGGCCCAGTCTGACCTGCATTGGAGGGGGGGTTGTCTTGCACAAATTTGATCATCTGTCTGAAACTACTGACCAGGAACGAGAACGTCTTAGACGTTAACATGAAAGCGGGCGGAGCAGGAAGTCACCGCAACGTCAGACTAGGCTTCTCGGCGTCGACACCCTTCCCTCCTCCTCATTTTCTGATTATCCAATTGGAGTAACTCTCTTTTTTTTTTTTTTTTTTTTTTAAGGATTTTACATCTCTCCTGAGACAGACCCTCTGGGGTCTTACAAAGGTTTACTTTGTGACCCCAGTGTTGCTGTTCCTCAGACACTGTCCAGGGGGCCAGTCTCCTTCCTGCTAAGACATGAGGCCCTCTCTGACTGTGGGCACTCGCTGGCCCTGTTGGTAAACTTAATGGCAGGGACGTTCTCCGTCTGCCCTGTGGGCCACCTGCCCCAGTGCCCGACTCGTTCTGGCCACAGAGGGAGGAGGGTGATCACACGTGTGAGGCCTTTGCTCAGGCTCCTTCCCTAAGAACCTGGGTAATCTCTACCCCTAAGCCCCTGCAAACAGCGTGACCGTCCGCACCAGCCATCGTCACAGGTAGTTTAGGAAAACACTCCCTGATAGCAAATAGGAGTTAGACTCTTTTAAAAGAAATGAATTTATCAAAAAGAGTACAACCCTAATTTAGTTTCCTTTTAATCAAATTTAAGCTTTTTTTTTGAGACTGTCCATTGAATCGTGGAGAAATGGGATCAGTGGAGAGTAAGGATGGTCTAGGCAAACCCCGGGCCAGGGAAATCCATGGGAGAGAGGACGCCCAGCTGTCACCCAGAACACTCCAAACAAGGCTGAATCCAGTTCACCAACTGCTGACACCTACACTGATCACGATTCCTTTGGGAGGTCGGTCACCACCATGGCCAATTTGAAGAAATACTTTGGGATGAGTTCAAGAACTGATGGGCATGGAAGTCTTACCTCCCTTCCTGGGGGTCAGGTCACAAGGGGATAGTGTGCATCGGGGGCAGGGGGTACAGACGAGGTTAGATTGATTAAAAACCCCTGACTCAGTGACTGCGACGCAACTTCTCATTTGTCCAGATGAACTGGGCTGACGTGGGGTTGGCCTCGCGTAGCAAGCTGAGGACGCTGTCTCCTGGGAGAGTGGGCGCACGGTGTCACTGCAGAAAGCCTGGGCAGGGCTGCCATGGCTTGGGGCTGGGCGTCCTAGCCGGGCTGTCCTGGGCACCTCCCGGGGTGGGGCAGCCCAGAGGCAGGAGGCTGTGTGTTTGGGGACAGAATGACCAGAGGGTTTTGAGTGGTAAGGCTGGAGCAGTCCTGGAAGTTGCAGTAAGGAGTGTGCTCTTGCCCCCAAAGCAGTGGGAGCGGTGGGGAGGGCAGAGTTTGCTTTTGAACATCGTAAGGTAGAAGAAACGAACGACAAGGAGACACTTCCAACACTCGTATGGCCGGGCTGGGCCTGGGCAACCTTGGCTGTGCGGACACTGGAAAGCCTCGGGCTCTCAGCCTGGCAGGAAGTACCATCTTGGGGAAAATAAAGTGTTTTCCTTAAAGATAGAGGGAAAGGCCAAAGTTAGGCTGTGAAACACTCCTGGACAGGGCGACAATTTGGGTCACCTGGCGGCCGCTCTCAGCATGTCCTGGGGAAAGTGCCCGGGGGGCGACCTCGTTCCACCAGAGTAGGGAGGTGATGTGGGTTCTGGATCCCATGGGGCGGGTGCGGTGCCCAGATGGCCCTGAGGGTACCGGAGGTTCAGTTCCCAGGCAAACATTGTGACTCGGCTTCAGATTTTTTTTTTTTAATTTTGATGGAACATACCAAAAATTTAAACACATGGGGCAAAGAACATTATTTTCCCTGAACCATTTGAGAGTGAGCTGCCTCCCGGTTGCATCCCCACCCGGGACACTTCAGGATGCCCTCCCCCACGAGCACAAGGCTCCCTCCCGACCCAGAGCACAAGCAGCACCTCGGGTCCTGCTCAGGCGTCACCAGTCATCACGGCAACGCTGTTTTCACTAAGAGGATCTCGTTCAGAATCTTGTCCCATCCAGTTGCCGTGTCTCTTGAGTTTCCCTCAGTCTGGAAATTTCCTCAGTCTGGCATTGGTGACCTTGAGGTGGGTCGCCCTCCTCACCCTGCTTGCACCCTGACACCCCTGAAGGGCCACCCTCCGCTTGGGGACACGGTCGCCTTCCGCACTGCTGGGACGACGCCTGTGCTGCTCCGCCCACCTCGTGGCTTTAGGACGCGGGAGGTATGGGGGGAGGGGCCTCACGAGTAACGAAATCACCCTTGAGCTAAAGGTCGCGTTGGCACGTGGATGGATTGTTGTATAGTGGCGTTTCCCAAAGTGTGCCCCAAGCAACCACTCGTTCTGAGTGATTTTGACAGACGTTCTACTAAAAATGGAAAGGACCTGGGCTCAAGAAAGTTTGGAAAATGGTTAGTTAAAGGTGAATAGCCTTCCTTGCTGTGAGGCCCTCAGTGTTTAAAGGGCAGAGACTGCTGAGGACACAGGACAGTGCGGTAGGAACCGGCCAGTGAGCCTCCGGGAAGGGGAACCGTGAACACAGTGAGCAGCATGTCCTCGATGTTGGCCCGTGTCCCCGTGGGGAAGCTGGCGGTGTGTGGCCAGTGCACGGCGGAGGGGCTGCTGTCACCGTGGGCGCCGCTCTGCTGTTCTGCTGTCGGTCACACGGAGCAGGTTGATGGGTTGTCCGTACAAGACGACAGTGCTGGTTAACAACTCGGGCCGGGGGCACCTGCTACCTCAGACCTGCCCTCCCCAGGGGAAGGCCCTGCCCCCTCCCCTGCTCCTGCCTCTGCCATCCCTTCCCCGCCCCCAACACTTCTCTCTCCTTGGATCAAATTTCCCAAAAAACTGACCCGCAGCCCTGATATTGAAGCACTATTGTCCTGGAACAACACAACCTGCATTTGAACCATGTGGGTCCACGTATACGCAGATTTTTGTCAGTTAATGCTACGGTTCTACACTATCTGTGGCTGGTTGAATCCACGGATGTGGAGCTGCCGGTACGGAGGAGGGCCGGCTGCAGGGCTTGAGTGCCCAGATTCTGGTGTACGTGGGGGCTCCTGGGGATGTTGAGGGACCACCGTCCTAGAACCACTGAAATGGTGCTCTGATCAGCCCCTTCTTTACTCCCCCACATTTGAGTGCTGGAGTAGTGCAGTCATTAAGGGTTGAATCTTGTCTCACCAAAGTTTGCATGTTGAAGTACTAATCCCCGAATCTCAGAATGTGACTTTGGAGGTGGGGTCTTTACAGGGGTGATCGAGGTAAAGTGAGGTCAGTGGGGTGGCTGGGCCCTAAGCCCCACTAAGACTGTGTCCTTCTGAAAACGTGGAAATTTGGGCACAGTGACTGCAGCAGAGGGAGAAGTGTGTGAAGAGACAGGGAGACACCGGCCACCTACCAGGCCAGGAGGGAGGCCTGGGACAGCCTCCCCTCGCCCTCACTGGGAAACTGCAGACGCATCAGTTTTGGACTTCTGGCCCCCACAACTGTGAAGCAATGTATTTCTGTTAAGCCAGCTGAGTGTCCTACAATTTAATACTGTATTGTCCCCATATTTGACACTGTTTACCTGGAAAGAGCGTCAAACCCCACAGGTTAAGTGCTCAGTTCCACGAGACTGCCTTCCCTACCCTGGAAGCCAATCACTCTTAGGTCCCTAGGTTACCCACAGTTCTGTCCCTGACTTGGCCACAAATCAGGATTCCCCTTTGCTCAAGAGAGTGCAGGCAGGGCTGAAAGTTCCCAGTTTCTAACCATGGTTTGGTCTTTCCTGTGGCCAGGAACCCGCCCAGAGTCACCTTGCTGAACAGAAGACACTGCTGTCACCGGGAAGTGAGACGGGTTTCAGCAGCCCCGGACCAGGATGGGGTGTCAGGGGTGGGGGTGGGCGTGGGGGTTGGAGACCAAGATACAGTTTTTATTATCTTACATGGGCAGAAAGGGTAATGCCTGGCCCACGTGTGCTGAGGCCCTGCCTTGGGGAGGTTTGCCCCTGGTCCTCTTCATCGCCCCCGGCCAGTCCTCTGCTGCAGCCCGGGTGGGGACGGCGATGGCAGAGCTGCAGCCCCCGAGGTGGGCCCTGCTCTTTCCACCAGATGAGCTGGTGGGCCACTGGGTGTGAGGCCAGCTCCCAGCACCCACAGGGCGAAGACACAGAGTCCCAGGAACAACACAGGCACCCCGGGCTTCTGTTTATCTGTCCCTCCTGTTTGCACAGAGAGGGACCCACCCTTCATATCCCAGGTCCTCCCAGGGCTGAAGTGGGGGAAGGGGAGGGTGTTTTCTGCCTGCGGCCCTTTGATGTCTTCCGTCAGCAACTCTGGCCAGGGCCCATGGGGCTCCTGTCCCTGGGCCCAGATGGCCCTTTGGCCCACTTGCCCTGGGGATTCAGGGTGTTTCACAGTCCAGCAGCCAGGATCCCACCTAGTGGGGTCCCATGTGGGTCCTGGAGACCCTGGTCACCCTACGTTAGGACAAGGATGGAAGGAAATGGGTCTGTTTGGAGAGCTTGGTTCTCCCACCGCCCAGGTCAGACCCTCGCTCCACCCCACTTCAGATGCCCACCGCAAGTAGGAGGTCCTGTACCTGTGCCTGGCATCCAGTGTGCTAGCTTTGGTTTATCTGGATCATAAAAAGTTTCAAAATAGATAATCCCTTTGGAGGAGCCTGAAAGAGACTGCTGGAAGGTTGACAGGCACGCTCACTCCCTCCTCTTGGTCTGTAAGCTCTAACTCAGCAGAACTGGGGCCTCAGCCTAGGTGACTTGCTCCCCCAGCCAAGCAAACAATTTGGCCAGTCACCCCCCTGCCTTCCACCCTTGCCTGAAACCTGCGCCACGGGGTGAAAGATTATTTCCAGCTGGTTGGCTTTCCGCAGTATCATGCTTACACAGCAATTTTATTTCAAACCAGCCCATTGCAGAGAACCCCACACAAGACACTGACCCTGGACCCTGCAGCCGAAGCGGTCTGGTCCAAGTGATGAGGGTGG